TGGTGTGAATTTACTCTTACTTCTCTATGACCAATGTCATTACCAATTACTTCTCTATATTAAGAGAGTACGTTATATATTTTTATGTATGTTTCTACCTCAATAATAAAAAAATATAATTAAAGCGCTAACAATGGGAATATTTTTCACTAATCCTTGTTGTGTATAATATTTTTATCGCAGATTAACTTGTAGTATTTTATATATACAGTTGTAAATTTCGATAAATAAATAGAAAAAAAAATCAATTTAAAGAAATGAAGAAACAAAAATATAAAGAAGATCTCAATTCTTTCCCACACACGATTCCGATAATGGAATATATATATATATATGAAATAGGCTAGGTGTATTTGTATAGAGGTTGACAATACATAGTGTATTGTGGAGGGCTAGTCGAGTGGCTACTGGTAGGCTAAATGGATGAATTAGTATCAGTTTGTTATTAGGAGAGGTGGCTCCTATCTGTTGCAGATATGTGGAGTCTGTTTTGTGGGGGAGCAGTGAAGCGCGATTGGAGATTGCATACCCTCCCGTGGGCTATCGGGGCCTGGCTTCCCTCTAACCTACTGGTCACTTACCGCTCCTAGTTCACTCCCAAAACTAATTCCCATTTGATCCTAAATAAACCAAGAACCTCTTGCATGGAACTAGTAGTACATCATAGGCCATAGGTATTTTAACACGATGATAATAATGCGTACATGGGAGTTGACCGCACTAATGACGAAGATACAATGAAATTCTGCTTCATATTCTTGTACTACATCTCCACTCCTCCCCTTGCCATCATAATAATATCATCGCTTACTGAATGAAATAATAATAAAATTCTGACAAATTTCATAATATGATTTCTCTTTTTTTGTGTATATTATATGAATGAACACTTTTTAGTATTAATAGTTATCGCTAGTGTTGCCCAAAATCGGTCTTGGTCTTGAAAATCGCAAGACTAACATGTACACTATGTATTGTCAAGCTCTATACAAAGACACCTAGCCTATTTCATATATATATATATATATATATATATATATATATATATATATATATTCCATTATCTGAATCGTGTGTAGGAAAGAATTGGATCTTCTTTATATTTTTGTTTCTTCATTCCTTTAAATTGATTTTTTTTCTATTTATTTATCGAAATTTACAACTATATAAATAAAATACTTCAAGTAAATCTGCCATAAAAATATTGTTACACAACAGGAATTAGTGCAAAATCTTCCCATCGATAGAACTTCAATTATATTTTTTTATTACTGAGATAGAAAAATGTGTAACGTTCCCTCTTAATATGGACATTGGTCATAGAGAGGTAAGAGTAAATTCACACCATATTTACACAAGATACAAATACAACAGAAGCAAATTAATAAATAAATAATATTTCACTATGCAGATTTGACTTTTATTCTTCTTACAGTGATGCATTTGCCTATTGGTAAGAATAAATTAATCAAAATTAGTCTTAATACAATATATATTTTTTTAGGTTCAGTCATGAATCCAGTAATTATTAATAAAAATACATGATGCTTGAAACCAATAGCTCATAACTAAATATAATTATACATTTATACGACACTTGTTAAAAACAATGAACTTATATAATTATTCTCCCCAGAAATTGGGTAAGTCACAAAATTCAATAAGATTGGTTCAATAGTTCTAAATGGATTATAGTAACAATTAGGGCTGTAGGTAGTGTATATAAGTTCATTATGTTTTTAACAAGTGTTGTATAAATGTATTATTATTTTCATTTATGAGATATTGGTTTTAAGCATTATTTATTTTTAATAATAATGACTGGATTCATGACAAATTAAAAATATTTATGTATTGTATTATAGATTGTTGAAGAGTGGGACGATCTTTTCCTTGAAACGTTCAATAAATTTGCTGACCATTAGGCAAATGTATCACTGTAAAATAAATAATAATCAAAAAGTATATACATTGCACTCCGCAAGACCAATGCCGCCTAACTGTTGCACGACTGAACGATTGTTTAAAAAATATCGATTTTTTAAATAAAAATTAAGGCAAAATAGTTACTAATACTCGAGAATCTTAGTTAATATATGTTAATAATTGGTATAACCAATATACTTTTCCATTTAACTCCTCCAATTTTTCATTCGGGCTTAGTTAGTTTTCTCCTATCTAAAAAATTACAGTGATATCTCTGTAGTAATAAACTAATAAGTAACTGCGACATTGTTGAACAATACCAAGACCATGACCAAGATTAAGTTTGCAAGACCGTTGCGGTCTCGCAACTGAGCAAGACTACTTATTGCCCTCCAAAAGTGGCTGATTGTATTGTTATACCAAAAAAAAAAATATTATAGTTCAAAAGAGTATTGATGTTAAACCTAATTTACTTTGGCCATAATATTTATTATCATTATCATTGGTAAGTATTATCACTAGGGGATCCAGGATTTGATTTTGGAGGGAGGGCTTCTGACCGAAAGCTTCTTTTTATTATATATATATATATAAAATAAAAAAAAAGATTTCGGTATATTCGGTATAGAATTCCATAGTTTATTGTTTATAGCAATTATTTTGCAGTATTAGGACATTATTGCTCATATTATGTCTTTAATATACCTGTATAGTTATGTAGATAATTCTTTTTTTACTTACTTTTTTTTTTTATTGTAATATGCATTTTGGTCAGATGTTATGTTAATTTTTATGTACAATATTGTTATTCTCAAGGGACTTTGTCCCAGAATAAAGTTGATTCTTCTATTCTATTCTATATTACGAAAATTACTATGGAAGAAAAATAAATAAACTAATTACCAATATAGAAATACTGTTGAGTGATTCTTCCATAAGTGATTCTTGAAGTCCTACTAAATGTAATTACACGAAAAATAATACTTTCAGGGATAATTTTTAATTATTTATTTCATAAGAATAATTTCGTATTATCTGTACGTATTATTATTGAATAAACTTTAAATATATATATAAATTACTTAAACGAGCTCTATTAAAACCCTTTTTATTAAAGTTACTTTATTACACTTTAAATCATATAAACATCATAAGGTTCAGGTTATATTCGCCCATTTTCAAGTAAAAACAACCATATCTGTAACTTTACAGCTGGTATTACTAATATATGTGTAACACTTTTACCTACACATCAACAATAAAAGAACAATTTTTGAAAAAATAACTGTAAAAAATATAATACTTCTGATCAACAAACATAATTTGTTTTTATTTGCTTTTCCAAGGCCACACATAATTATGTAATAATCATAATAAAAAAATATTATTACTATTATTCGTTGATAATTTTTTTCAACTCGAAAAAACTCAAACAATTAAGAATAAGAACTGACAACAAAAAATTAATTAAAAAAATATTATCAATAATTATTTTAATTGAATACTGTGCGGTCGTCAGTGAATTTAAATTCGGTTCGAATGTAATTTCATTTTATTTTTGGTTCTAAAAATATTTCGTAAGCTTGATTCTTTGTTATTATTTTCTGTATTTTTTTTAATTTTAATAATTTATTTATTTTAATGGATTATAATTTTTAACAATTTGTTGAATTTAGAATAAAATTAATTTGAATTAAAAAAAACAAAAAAACTTATATCATTGTTTCTCTATCTTTCAACTATAACAAACCTATCTCCACACGTAAGCTAGCATGGCTTTTAATACTGTACAATTAAAGATTATTAATTGGTAATTTATCGTAATAATAATGATCATGCTAAAACTACTTACTATTATTTTAAGTTAAAAATCTAATTTATTGATAATATCAATAAACTGTAGCCCAATTCATTTAATATCAGTTTTAAAATTAACTAATAGTAGTGATAAAATTGTTTTATTGAACCATAAATTAACAAATGTATAACAAAATAAAAATTCTAATCATTGTGAAACCAAATAATATTAGACACATAATCCTTACAGAATATTTTTTAATTCACATTTCAAGATTTTTTCGAAATCGCAGACAAATCTATTTTCAATCAGGGATCATTCGAAGTCTTTAAGAAATCAAAATTAATTAATTTATGTAACTAAGTTGATATAATCAATAAATTAGATTTTATTATATTAAAATAATAAAATTAGTATTAGCCCGATCGTTATATCGTTGTATTATGATAATAATAATTATTAATTATCAATATTTAATAATATATTATTAAATAAATACAGGTTTTGCCAAAACGATTAAGATAGGATCGGGTTACAGTTAGTGTTGCCCAAAATCGGCCGCCTAACTGTTGCAAGACCAAGACCGAAACTGGTAAAAAAATCGATTTTTTAAATAAAAATTAAGGCAAACTAGTTACTAATACTCGACAATCTTAGTTACTATATGTTAATAATTGGTATAACCAATATACTTTTGCATTTAACTTCTTTAATTTTTAATCGCGCTTAGTTAGGTTTACCCTATCTAAAAAATTACAGTAATATCTCTATAGTAGTAAGCTAAAAGGTAACTGCAAGACTGTCGCGATACTCTTGCGCTAGACCAAGACCATGACCAGGGCTGAGTTTGCAAGACCAAGACTCGTCTCGGTCTCGCATTTGGGCAACACTAGTTACAGTCAAGATAGAAAAACTAAAACTAAAAATTCTCCATAGAAATATTTCTTCCAAGTTCTGCGGTAACCAAGATAGTTCCCTCTCCTCGAAACAACCATCTTAAATACTTTTATCCGCTGGATGAAAGTATGGATGTTTATCAACTAGCTGTAATAAACGCAATCATAAGATGTCCCAACGTAGATCATGTTATATATCATTACTTCGCTGACCTCCTTATCTTCCAAATGAATTTTTCTAATTACAAAACAGATATCCTTCAAAGACAGGCTTGGTGGTTATTAATAATGCGGATTTGTGAACCCGCTCCCTGTCCTGGAGGAAAGCGGGAGGTCATGCGACCAGCAGCTGTCCAAGTCAGCTGAGATCCAATGACATTATGATTGCCAATCAGAGCATAGTGTGTCCCGCTGTTCGTCCATTATTTTCTTTCTTGGGCTTCCCGCTGATGGCCGGTGACCTTTCAGCCATCAACTCAAGTGTGTAACGTGCTACTGTTAATCCAACCGTCTCCATGGCTTTTATTTACGCTCCCATATGTGCCTACATCAATAAATAAAAAAAGAATCAGGAAGTCCTCGCTGTTGGAGAAATGAGACAAATACCGTTTACGAGAAGACATTGCGTGCATTTTCTAGAACAAGAAAAGGAAAACCTAATGAACTAACCTAAGAGTAAACGTAGAAGATGTTAACAAATAGGGTAAAACAATATATATATATATATATATATATATATATATATATATATATATATATATATACTTTATGTTGATGACCCGTTTTTTAAAATTGTGCAGGTTTGCTCTTAAAAAAATATATTTTATTTTGAAATTATATAGATAGATAGATAGATAGAAAAAAAAACTTTATTCTGGGACTAAGTCCCTTCAGAATAACAATAATGTACAAAATAATAGAATATTACTGGCCTCAACGTTGAAACAATAAATAAAATTGATAAAATAAAATAAAAAGTAAAGAAAACCTTAGGTGCACAAGCTATATACAATACAGATAAAACTATGTACAGAGCATTTAAAATTATGAACAAAACAATTAAAACTATGAACGAATCACTTGAACTATGAACAAAATTATATTTAAGGGTTGAACAACATAAACATATACTTTGAGAAATGAAGAACGAAAAAGAGATACAATGAGTTCATTTCATAAAAAAAAAAAAACTTTACTTGAATATATATATATAAAAATAAACAGTTAATTATATAAAAAAAAAAAATGTATGTATTGAAATTCCTACGTCGATAGTAGGAAATGCATGTACTATCTCTTACCAGGTGTTATGATTATATGATTGCTACACAATACATATATAATATTAATAGTTAGCTGGTATCTGACTATAATGTTATGAAAAAAAATCTTATTGTTTTCTATAAATTCTATAAAGCATCTTTTAATTTTCTAAGAACAAAACTGGTATTTCGCTTTCAGCAGTTTTGGAAGAAATAAGTAGTTAAAACCTAATATTATTTTGTTTGGAGGATTTCTTTTTAATTATATATATGATAGGAGACAGGGGAATTTAAAAAATAAAATAAAATATCTACTAACAATATTTGAATTTAGTGAGTGGAGTAGATCAGTGCGTTAGGCACTGGGCTGCAAAACTATAGATCCCTGGTTCGAACCCGACTGTGGCAGATCACTACTTAATCTGTTTCATCAGCCGTGGATCGTACCTGGTATCAGAAGAACCTCCCCTGGCACATACAGCCTCTTTAAAGCGGGTACTCTTAATTAAATAATTAATTAAGAGAAATAACTGGCGATCAAGCATAATCCCGGCTCGATCATCTCCTGCACGACCATTGATCATCAAACAAAGTACTGAACCCGAGAAACAGCCTTCATGGGTTGTAGTGTTACACTTTTTATTTTATTTGAATTAAAAAAAATATGTAGTGCGTTTGAGTAGAACAAAGGACAGTTATTATGTATAATACAAGTCTAGGAAATATAGCCCCGCATTGCCAAAATGTTTCGTTCGGTACATTCGTTTTCACAATTGGTTTTCTTAAAAAAATATATACAAAAAAATCAATGAATCATAATTAAATCGGAATGAAATGTACCAACTATATAAAATTACGGAGATCTTTCTTTCCTTATGAGTAATTTAAAAAGAAACAATTTTTATGAGATGTCTGTCGAAAGTAAATACATTTTGAGAGTTATTAATCAATTAGGAAATCATTCAAAACCACTATGCTTTTATTTTTTTTTATACAACTGTACAGAAATCTTTCATCCAAACGTTTAGGAGTGTAACTCAATGTTGCTATTTTATTTATCAAAATAAGAATTCTATGACCACTATATTTCATACATGTACGACTAAGACAGCATGCATGAGTATATATTGGCTTACGTAATATACATATATATATATTCAATCTTATAAAACAGATTAGGAGCTGCGCAGTAACTAAAATGGCGAAAAGTAAGTTATTATGGATAGTCTCGGAGTTTAATCACTAAATTATAATAACTCTAGCCTTCGAATGGTTGAAGATAGGATAGTTAAGTGATATAGATTCTTAAAGAAATTATAATATTTCTTCTCTAACAAACTGCCTCCTTCCATAACCAAAAATTTGAAATTTGACTCATATCATAAGGGAAGAATTTGTCACGTTTTAAGGCAGGGGGAAAATGTATCCATGCCTATTTTAATAGCCAAAATGCACGAAAAGAAAACACGAAAATTGGGAGGAAAGGAAATGTTTTAGATGAAGGTAGGGTAGAGAGGAGAGTATGTTTTTGAGAACGGCTGGGAGGAGGAGTGGAGGCGAGAAGGCACTTTGCCCTTATCAGGGGTTTCTGCCTCGTCGCCCAGGGCTCTCTTATCTACCCACCCCCCGCCACCTTACAGAAATAAAACATTAATATCAGAGGAATAGCTACCCTCCCTCTCCATGGTAAGTTTTAACTACTCCTCCTTTATACCGACCCAAGAAAACCCAACAACGATCCTCTAACAATGTACCGGTCATGTCCCCTCTCCCCTGGACCTACCATATCTGACTACACACATTAATCAAATATGATGAGAGAAAACTCATATTATTGTTGAGGAATCATATTAAATATCGATTTGAAGAATAAGAAGCGATGCTCTTCTTCCCTTTCTATTCCAAGCTCATAATCCATTCTGAATCAATCTTCATGAGCCGCAAATGCACCTATGGAAGCCATATAAATTCTTCGATTCGGCTGCGAAGAAGATTTTGTATTGCCCAAAGCTGTTGTATTGGTTATTATATTTTGAGGTATACTACGGTTATTTAACGTTTTAACCTTTTATTAACCTCAATGTTCCATATGTTTCCGATTTGGATGAATCCAGATACCTATCCTCCCATAATAAACTTTATAACCATCCGAATCCTCTTGTTTCCAACCTTGCTTCCTCTTCGATTCCTGATAACCCTCCGAGGCGTCTGAAAAGAAGATGTCCTCGTGATCTCCTCATGTAGACAAATTATTAGAGTGCTACCAATGGGTAGTTTCTCAACAAGCGTGTTTCATGTTATTATATTCCTCTGTACACATTTACTTGATGTACTAATACAGTTGTAAATATCATAATAAAAGTTTTAAAAAAGCAAAAAAAAAAAAAAACCTCTTATTAAATCTAAACAGCGTTTTTTTTTCCTAATTTAACCGTGGATTGCCCAAATGCGAGATCACGATGAGGTCTTGCGCAAGATTCTTGCAGTTACCTCTTAGATTATTTTTATCGAAATATTACTGAAATTTTTTGGATAGAAGAAATCTAAATAGGCCCGAATGAAAATTTAGAAGATTTAAATGCAAAAGTGTATTGGTTATACCAATTTTTTACATGTAGTAACTAAAATTGTCAAGTATTAGTAACTATTTAGCCTTAATTTGTATTCAAAAAATCGATTTTTTTTAAACCAAATTTAACGTTTTAAACTCGTATTAAATCTAAACAGCGTTTTTTCTAGTTTAACCGTGGATTTCAGGTAGTGTTGACCAAATGCGAGATAAAGATGAGTCTTGGTCTTGTGCACCCAGTCTTGGTCTTACGCAAGAATCTTGGAGTTACCTGTTGGATTATTTCTATAGAAATATTACAGAAATTTTTTGGATAGGAGAAATCTAAAAAGATGAATCTTGGTCTTGCGCACCAAGTCTTGGTCTTGCACAATAATCTTGCAGTTACCTGTTAGATTATTTCTATCGAAATATTACTGAACTTTTTTGGATAGGAGAAATCTAAATAGTCCCGAATGAAAAATTAGAAGAGTTAAATGCAAAAGTATATTGGTTATACCAATTTTTTACATGTAGTAACTAAAATTGTCAAGTATTAGTAACTATTTGGCCTTAATTTTTATTTAAAAAATCGATTTTTTTTACCAGTCTTTGTCTTGATCTTGCAACAGTTAGGCGCTCTTGGTCTTGCAAAGGGCTTGAAACGAAAAAAATAATTTTATTTTTAAAAAGTTTTTGTACCTCCGAAATTTGTATTGTCTATGGTTTATCAGTTCTTATGGAATTAGAACTTTTTCTCTTGCAACTTATCAAGTAAAGGTTTTAAAGAACGTTTATTAAAAAAAAAATCGATTTATTTAAAAGTCGATTTCGCTACAAAGTCGATCTAAATAATGACTTTTATTTATAGCTACTCAAACAAACGATACATTAGAATCATGTGTAATTAATTCATGATAAATTATAACTCTAATCTAAGCCTGATTAGTTTTTCATTGAAAGGAACTTTTTTTAAGAACTTGGATAAACGTAAGTTAAACTTTTACCATAAATCTGGAACTTTATTACTAAAAAGTTTCTTAGAAGTTTTATTTTAAGGACTTTTTATCTTAAACGTTCCACAGGAACTGTTAAAACAGAACTTTAAAAAAAAAAATTCCATTAAAGTTTCAAACCTAGTTATATTTTAATATCGTTCTTCAAATAATAACAAAACGTACATAAACGCGTTTTTTTTTTTTATAGAATTTAAGACTAAATAGTTAAGAGGACAATTCTCAAAGTATTGTCATGTTCAGTTTATTAATTTGAATTTTACTATGTCTATGTTAATATAATCTAATAATAAACCTACTCTGTTGCGTTTTTTAACATCTAAACTAACGTGTTTAATAAACAGCAATGGGCTAATATGTAATTGTAAGACTTTCGAGACTTACTGCAAGACCGATACTGAGACCAACACTGTCTCGTCTTTTAAAATTGAGAAAATTGTTAAAGGGAAGGTGAAAAAACTAGAGAAGTAGTAAACGGTATGAATAATGATTATGAACGAAAATATAACGGAAAATCTATTCAAGTGATCATCTTTGAATATTTAAATACTATTAAAAATTGTTTATCTTTAGTACAGTATCGAGTTTTTTTTTTTTTTTTTTTTTTTTTTTTTAATACAGAATTTCTTTTTAATGGGGATAGCTTTAATATTTACATTTGTATTCATTTTTAATTTCAATATTGGAAAGCGCGCCCACGATATCTGACGCCTCAAGGTAGATAGTAACCATGACTGAAATTTACAGATGGGGAAGAGGATGGATCAGGTGGAGACAATTCGAACCCCGGGTCCTGCGAAGAAGACCAAGCCCGGCTTCGATTGAAAAGAAAGTTACAGAGGAACAGGACTTCATTCACCAATGAACAGATTGACAGTCTTGAAAAAGGTAAGAAATTGAATTTCGGTGTTGAAAACGGAATATAATATCATCATAAAAGAGTACTGTTAGGCGTTTCAATACTTCAGTAGTGTGGAGACGGGTCTTGTTAATTTAAAGTACGAAGTTATTTTATAACTATTAAGGGGTACCTATCCCTCCCAAAAAAAAAAAAAAAACGATAGCCCATGAACCTATAACTCTTCCAAGATATTTTTTGCTCTTTTCTTATTTAATTAAGGGGAAAACCTGGCAGCTGAGCGTGATCTCGGTCAAATCACCTCCTAGCACAACCGTTGACCAAGAAGCAGTACTTTCCCTGATAAGTACTGAACCCAAGACCCTCCATGGGTTGTAGTGGTACAGTTTTTTTTTCTCTTAAAAACAATGCCAGCTAATGTAAAATTTAAATAATCGAGGATCATGTATAATTACATTTGATGTGGTCTGTTCTGCGTCTCCCCCTTGTCCCTTGGTTTATATTTTATTATGTTTCCTTTCAAAATTTGTTAGCATTTATTTAGTTAAATTAGGAAGATACATACTTCGGAGTTTGATGTCAATTATTTCTCATCTGTTTCGTTTAGCAGCTAATTTTGAACATCTTATTATTATAGCATAAATAAAAATATTGAAGGGAGCTTGTCGACTGTTCAATTTGTCATAGGTGAGAGATAGTCAGGAAGCAGTCAGTTTTTAAGATTATAATTGCCAACGTTTCAACCCAAGCTTTTGGGTCATCGTCAGGGCATGTTACCACCAACGAAGGTGTTCAAGTACTCACCTTAGGTGTTGAATACTTGAACAACTCCAGTGCTGGTCACCAGCTAGCTATGAAACCCACAAGGTTTGAAACATTGACAATAAAAATCTTAGAAACTGACTGCGTTTCGAGTATCGATAACGGAGAGGAGAGGGCTACACAAACAAAATTTAAAACAAATTCAAATTCAACAAAATAATAATAATAATGATAATCTGTAGAAAATCCTGCCTATTAACCAATATTTTCCCTACACACAATGCACATTTGACTTGAAATCTGTCAGATAGATAAATATAGATAGATAATGTTGCCTAACTCGGAAAACAAACAGTACTTTATCCTTTAAAACTAAGTGGAGATAATTATTAAATTTACGTGTGATCAATTGTAGGCCTTTTTTTCCATTATTAAAAATTCGACTGAATTTAAAAAGATTATTTCATTCAAGTATTTTCACTCCTAAAGCAAGTTCCTGTTCTGCTTGTATGTAGTGTTGCCCAAAATCGGTCTTGGTCTTGCACTATGCAAGGCCGCCTAACCATTTCAAGACCAAGACTAGAACTGGTAAAAAAAAAAAAATCATTTTTTTGAATAATAATTGCTATAACCAATATACTTTTGCATTTAATTCCTTTAATTTTTCATTCGGGCTTAGTTAGATTTCTCCTATCTATAAAATGACAGTAATATCTCTATAGTAATAAGCTAATAAGTAAATGCAAGACTGCTGCGAGACTCTTGCGCAAGACCAAGACCAAGACTGAGTTTTCAATACCAAGACTCGTCTCGGTCTCGCATTTAGGCAACATTACTTGTATGTAAATCCCCCGATAATACGTTTTTGCTTAAATATTCAATACAATGATGCTGGAATGACTATATTTATTTAATTATTTTTATTTTTGATACTGATGTATTTAATGAGTATTAATTTCATGGTTTGATGGGATTTTATTTCAACAGAATTCGAAAGAACACACTACCCAGATGTGTTCGCAAGAGAAAGATTAGCAGCGAAAATTGGTTTGCCGGAAGCTAGAATTCAGGTAAAATTCTTCCTCTCTTTCCTACTTTGTCTCATTTATATAACAATAAATATTTTCTTCTATGATATGATGTCTAGATGTTTTTTTTTTTTTTTTTTTTTGTTTTTTTTTGCATAAATTGTGCCATATATAATAGATATACTTTTTAAGTTAAATGTAGTTATAACTAATATTCTGGATCAGGTTTGGTTCTCGAACCGAAGAGCGAAATGGAGGCGAGAAGAAAAACTTCGCAACCAACGGCGAGCCAGTGAACAAGGCGGAAGTTCACCAGCAAGGCTACCAACTTTCCCGACCAACCCTATCTATCCACCGATACCAACACCCATATCAGATACTTACAGGTATAAATTTGTATAATTTCATTCATGCATTATTATTAACTAAAAGTATTGTTTTTACAAAACATTGTCCCTTAATTATTTAATATAAATCTTCTTGGTACCCTCAAGTATACATTTTTTTTTTTCAATAAATATGATTTCACCCCTCATTAATAAATGATATTCCCTTTGAAATTTATATCGAGCGTTTATCTATTATCTATTCTCAATTTTCATTTACTGGGTTGTTCTTGTCATATCAGCATAGCGTCACTTTTTTTTTTTTTTTTTTAATAATAGATAATAAGATATTTGAGTTAACTGAACTTAGCTCAGTGGGGATGTCCGTAATTAATTAGATAGTATATTTTTTATGGTACTTAAGAATCCGAAAATATCAATAGTTTACTCTCCCTGACACAAACTTTCATTTTTCACAAAACCTTTGAGGATTTAGGATAAATGTATAAATAGACACTTTATCTCTGACAGTGGGTATTTGCAAATGGGTTTAATTGATAACAAATTTAGTCTATTTCTGATTTTGTTTTTTCTATACAGTCAATTAGTTTATTGTACATGAAAAACTCAAGAAATCCTGACAGGGTATTTTGCACCAGTAATAGACACCCAAGTTTTGGCGTCAACAAGTTTTGATTTATAAATAACAGGTAATGAAGAACTATAGATGAATGGACCAAAATTTCAAACCTATCTCCTAAAGAAGTGATAAGGAAACAACCCTGAAACAAAGACCTAGCCTTGTTCCATTAAAAAAATCGACCAATCGCCTGTTGTTGCATGATGCCACTTGAAGTCCAGGCATCAGCCTCTTAAATGTTCTAGCTTCAAATCTACTCGTATTTGCACTCTATTTTGGGCGTATAAAGCTTAACAACTGTTAATGAGTTAAAAACTGTCTATTACTGGTACAGTGTCTATTATTGGTACATTTAACATACTAGCAGACACTTTTTAAGATGTACAGTAACAAAAAAAAAAAAAAACTACTTAATGTGCTTTAGACCACACGATGTTTATGAAAACATCGACAAGGCGAGGTTAATGACAAGAAATATAAATTTTTCTTTGTTATATGCTCACAAAGTAATACAATTTACAGTATAAGATAATTATATTTGTGTATAAACTATTTTTTGTTTAAAATTTACAATTTATGCCTCATTAAAAGGAGTATGAAATGCTGAAAATTTCCCTCGCTTACAGTATGGAGGTCCGATTTTTATTTTATGACATATTTTAATCCATATGATCAACAAAACTCATTATCGTTTTCGTCACTATTTATTCCCTTTTTGCCTCTCTAACACGGCGTCGCGTTAAGATTATCTTTTGAATAATAGCTCATTACAAAGAGGATGAAATTTTGAGCATTTCCCTCGCTTACAGTATGCAAATCTGATTTTTAGTTTCTGAGATAATTTAATCCACATGCAAAAATACTTTGATTCGTGCCGACTTTACCCGAATGAGCGTTACACATCCGAGCATGACGGCTCAGCTTCATTCACTCCCCACTTAAAAAGTGCAAAACGCGCCTAAAGAATTTTTCACTTCAAAAAATAAAAAATGTACTGTTTCTCTAAAGATGCCCGAATTAGCGAAAATCTGTATTATTCAATAATTTTTTATTTTTTTATTATTGAAATTTACAACTGTATTAAATGATAACTACAACGGGTTAATATGAAATAAGTAACATGACATGTACAACATGAAGAGAAACTACCCATTGGTAGCACTCCCATTATACTTCTATATTAGGAGGTCCCGAGGCCATCTTCTTTCCAGACGCAAGAGGGTTCGGATGGTTCAGAAGTTTATTATGGAAGGATAGGTATCAGGATTGAGCTAAATCGGAAACATATGGTACATCAAGGTCGTTATGGATGATATTATTTGTGACAAAGTAGGGAGCATTGAGGATTATTATTTAATAATAAATTTAATTTATGACAAAGCCTATTGAAGCCTAAATCGCTACTATGTATATTATGCATTTTTTATTGCATATTACATGTCATTTTCTGCGGGGTTTTACTGCATCAAGATGCTGGCTCTGATTATGATAAAATCCAGAGAGCGATCGAAGCGCATTCTTATAAATTAAACATGTGCAGAAGTACCTCTGTTCTATTTTCTGTATCAAATAACTATCAGATCACATAAATAAATAATGATCAAAGAGTACAAGCCATCGAATGTAATTACGCGTTTGTTCCGCCAGGAAGATCTTAAATTCTACAGATATTTAAATAATACATTATTTTCTTTTACAGTTCAATGGGCAGTGGATTCAGTATGGTCGGTAGCGGAGGCGTGAGTCCTGGAGGTTCCACTGCATGCCTTCAGCAGCGAGGAGAATACTGCACCATGTCGAGGAACTACGACGCCAGCCTGGGACTTACAACGTACCCAAGGCATTCACCATGCAGCCCTAGTCAGACCCCGTACCAAGCTCAATACACCACTAACCCAGTCACATCGACAGGTAATTTTATTAAACACTATTTTATTGTTAACTGATTGTGGACTTAGATCCGAAAAAATATACCTTGGCATCACCTCATCAGCAATCTCTTTCAATTAACCCTTTATATTATAAGATACGACAAATTTAGATCATAACTAATTAATTATAAAATTACATTATTTGCATACTATCCTATGAGTCTTCACTAGAAACACTAGTAGCAAATTTAAATTCAGAATGAGAGGTTGTTAGAGTATATATATATATATATATATATATATATATATATATATATATATATATATATATATATATATATATATAGGGAGAGACGTGGGTGTAAAAACGGGCAGATGAGTAAATATGTGAAATTTTTCCCAAGGAGGTATGGAAAATACTGCAACCTGGCAAGCAGGACTGTAAACGGCTTCAATTGTTGACATAACGAATAGTGTGTATTCTCGAATGAAAATCTTTAATGTTAGGTGAAATTGTTTTCTATCCATGCCCTTATAAGTAGTTTGAGGTAATGTTGAGTGCTATACGCAAAACAGAGATCCTAAGCTACTTTTAAAAGCATATCTTTACTTGCCCATAATTTGAGGTTTGAGCCCATCTTCCTTGGGAGAGAGGGGAGGATAGTGTGAACATGAACGATACTTCTTAGTGGAAGTATAGACTCCGATTGAAGTGGGCTCAGCAACATTCTGAGGCTACCGATACATCTCAATGTTTCTAAGGAACTTCAAATGCAGTTGGACATATCACCTGTCCCCAACATTGCAAAGAAACCACCTCTCGGGTGGGCATAGCAGCAAGCACGCAGTACAAGAATCAGTTGACCAAGTTTTAAAGACAAGAAGAGATCGTTTTTCCCAAGTCAGAAGTCAGCCTTTCAGAAAAAGAAAATTTAACCCATGAAACGGTACAAATCATCATTTCGTTTCTGCGACCTTCTCTCACATGTTAACAGCAATGATAACCTAATTATAAACGATGTGGATACACCACACTCGTGTGATGTTATTTGTATATAGAAATTCACGGGGCAGTTTGAGTTAAATGCACGTAATTAAATTGCTCCGGTGCTGAAAGAGCCATTTATTTTTATTATTTCTATAAATAATATCTGATCTGATGTTATCTAAAAATTACTGATGGGCTCCATTTTTTCTGATATTTTATTAAAAGCTTTTTGTAATTCTTCGTTTACGAATTGAAATAATTTATATTAATTATTGCTATACCCCCAAAAAGTAACATTAAGATGAAGATGCCCATTTTTACACCTTTTCCTCTTTCGAGAAGAATATATACATATAAGTCTAGTATACGACAGATCATTTTGTGTTCTAGTTTTATTTGTATAGTTTTGTTCGTGACCATTATATATTTCTTTAAATTATTTTCAATGATATATTTTTTTATTGTCATTTCAGGTCTTATATCGCCTGGAGTATCTGTGCCAATCCAAGTTCCAGGACAGAGTCCGGAGTTGACATCCCAATACTGGCCAAGACTCCAGTGACCATGGTGGCCTTAATTTTATTTTTTTTAAATAATTTGAAAATATTTAATCTTACTTCCGTTCATAAACAAATGATTCAAGTAATTTCATTGTAATTATTATGACAAAACAATTTTCTGAGTATAATAATTTCTTTTCTAAACTTTTGATAAAACATTTTTCATCTACCACAAATGGAAACACGTTTGTCAATTTAAAAAAAAAAAATGTAATAAAAACAATTGCGTAGTTGCAAATGTTTGTGTATAATAAAAAAAAATGTAACATAAAGATATAATTTTTTAATGATATCGAATTGTAATATCAGTATAACGAAGTAAGAAACTCTTAACACAATTATTCTCTCTATAATATGTAACTAAATTAGTTATTAATGATACAGTGTTTTATGTTGATACACCTTTCACGCCCATGCAAAAATATCGAAAGATAGTCAGCGAGTAATTTTGTATTATATACTACTAAATGATTTTAATAGAATGGGTAAATTCTTTATAATTTATTGATTACTGTTTTTAAGGTATTAACTTTTGTGAAACCAATTGTAAATAAGTGTGATTTGTGAAGAATAAATGAATTAATGTGTGTATATATATACTAATATTTAACAAATATAAAATAAAAAATCTGCACGTCTTTCCTTTTTTATTATTCAACCTGAATAGATTTCTACATTATCGTTTTATTACAAAAATTCACATTTTAACATCTTAATTTATTTAATTATGGCAAATATTGGAAGAAACGCAGTATTTCGTCAATATGATATTGATTTACAACATACTCGTAAATTTAAGATTTTCCTGTCGAAAACCAATGACTTCCTGTCCTTCAGTATCCTTTAACAACACCTCACTTATTCCTGTTGAACAAATCCGTTACCTAGGACTCCACCTGGACAAAGGTCTAACTTGGAATCCTCATACCAGACCGAAACGACAAGAAACCGCTCGACGTTTCCGACTACTTCAACACTTACTAAACAAACGCTCTAAACTTCCAATTAATTACAAAAGACTCATATACATGACTATAATAAGGCCTATTTGGACTTACGGAGTTGAGCTATGGGGCTCCACCAAACCTTCAAATTCCTCTCGCATCCAATCCTTACAATCCAAAATCCTTCGTAAAATCCCTCAATGCTCCTTACTTTGTTGCAAATAAAATCATCCACAATGACCTTAAAGTTCCTTATATATCAGATTTGGTCCAATCCAGATGTCTATCCTTCCATAATAAACTTGATAACCATCCCAACCCTCTTATTTCTAACCTTGCTTCCTATTCAATTCCTGATAACCCTCCGAGGCGTCTGAAAAGAAGATGGCCCCGTGATCTCCTAATATAGACATATTATTAGAGTGTTACCAATGGGTAGTTTCTCAACATGTGTTTCATGTCATTATATCCATGTACGGATTTACTAGATGTATTTATGTAACACAGTTGTAAATATCATATAAATAATAATAATAAAAAAAAAAGATTTTCCTGTTTTTTTTTTCAAAATATTGGAACTTTTATTTATCAAAATATCTTATATTTAATCAAAATATATTATATTATATCAAAATATTTTTTATTTATCAAAATATCTTGCGCAGGAAATTCTATCATCTTTAATAGCTCAAATAGAATCAATGACCAATGAGTTGGTATTGTCTTTAGAATTTTATTCTAACACCCAAAATATTTTCATTATTTTCATTTACCTTTGCAGTTTTTTTTTTTTTTTTACTATCGCCTAATGATTAAGGTAAAATAGTACCAAATGATATATACAAAACGGTAATTAAATTGTATTTTCCGTTATTGTTAGAGCGATAAACACGCAGACCTTTATACAAGATTCTAACCCTATTATGTATTCTAATCCAAGCCAACTAACATGCAAATTAGTCACTGCTTTACAGAGTAACCCAATCCATTAGAGGATATCAATAAAAATCACACATTGTGTCCAGGTTTACCTAGACATATCGAGTTCTCTTTCTCTTCCAAAAGTTTCATAACAAAGTCACCATTTAAGTAAGTAGTTGAATAACTAAATATTTAGAGACAAATTCATCTAACAAAATGTTTTGGTACTTAAGGGAATCCGCCGTCATGCTTAACTTTTTACAAACATTTAAATTTACCTACATCTCAAATCAAAATCGAGACCTTGGTATTCTCAGAGTCAACAGATTCTGCAATTCATTATTAATGTTATTTCTTTTATGGAATCTCTTCTCAATTCCGTTCGGAGTGATACGTTGAAGTATGATCATATTTACTTAAATATTCATTTGTTATTTCGCTGTTTCACTAACAACATAGTTACCGGACATTTGTTAAGTTTACCTACAGACAACTCGAATATATTTCTCTAGGTCTCTCTCTGTCCTCAACATAAATCCCATTATAGAACAGTTCTATGATAAGTAAAAATTGAAGGTAAATATTGCATTCAAAATGCGGATGAGAGCACGTGCATGTGAAAATCATGAACACGAAGAATTTTTTGTTCCTAAAGATTGCAATAGAAAGAACATTGGAAAAATTCGGGTATAGCCAACTTTACCGTAAAATCAGCAAGAGACGTTAGAGGGTTAAGAGATTCCGTAGATAAATATCATAAAGCTATTCACTATTCATAATCTCTAAAATGTGTCAACACAGTTCTCCATACACTGAGCATCCGTAGTCAAAATGGAGAAAATAATAAATAAAACAAAACGTCAGCGGGAACTTATGGGGAAGGGATTGAGAAATCTTAAAATCTGAATGAAGATCGAAATGGAAGACGATTATGATGAAACAGAGGTTTCAGAAGGAGGTTTTATGGCGCCAGTTGCGTGGTCAAAATTTTTGAGGGGGGTATATTTTTACTTTTTTTTTTTAATTTTTGAGGAGGGGCACATTTTAATGGGGTCATGAATTATCGGAATAAGGGGCTAGAGGAAAACATGGAACAGACAGCAGAAAGTATAATTGGCTATGATCTGCGATTTGTCTATTTATACTATCTCTTCCTCTTTTTTTTTTTTAAGAAAAGATGAGCAATAAAAAATCTTGGCAGGGGGGGAGAGTAGATTGTTGCGCCATCGACCTTGGTGGGGGGGGGGGGTGGACACCCCATAACGAAGTAACGAATAGGTGATTGTTTAAGAAAAGTTGCCTTCTTATGTTATAGGTAAATTGAAACATGGACATAATTCAAATTAACATAAAATATTTCTATTAATTTCCAGTGATGACCAAACCTAAAATCGGTTTTGACACATCCAAAGAATAAACAACATCTTCTACCGAACCCCTACAGTTATTCACAGACATACTGTATACAACGATTTCCTAGGACAGTGTACCACCTACCTTTTGTTCTCCACGAGTGGTCTCCTTTGTTATTGCTTGTGAATAAGTGGTTCGCTATGAACTGGACTTCAACAGCTATTAGGGAGAGCGATCAAAAGAAGAAGTGATAAAGAATAGGAGAGAAGATAGAGAAACAGAAGCGTCGACCGAAACACACGTGAATAGGGTTCACATCAGCGGGGATTCGTAGATTGCAGCTTCCATTGCACTAATTGCAGACTTCATTGCCTTGGGGCAAACAATCCGTCCCACCACAGTTTCATTCTTTTCAAGGACAATGGGAAGCATCATCTTTTGTTAATTCTTTCTACCCTATATGTGAGAAACTACCTGTCTTCATTATACAAAAAGAATGGCTTCATTCTTAAACATACAAATAAAATATTACCCACACAATACTATATGCATGCTCTCTCTAAGATACAGAAATTTACATGCATATATTGCCTATATATGTATATGCTATACATATCTGTTATATATCATGCTTATAATACTGTGTGGTTCACTATATATTTAAAAATCAGAAGTACTATGTAATTTGGGGACCACAATAGAACAAAAGCAGAACAAGAGTTGATATTCGTTTTTTCCACCGCAAAAAACTTAAAAATGCGAATTTTCATAGCAATCAAAATATATATATTTTTTAAGAAAATTTTTTTTGAGAAATATTACAATCTGTCTCAAAGGACATTTATAATAGTGTTCAATGTAATCACATAATAATAGTGTAATCACATTCACACTCTATGTACAATAAATGAAAATAAATTAAACATATAAATAATATAAATATAAATATATATATATATATATATATATATATATATATATATATATATATATATATATATATATTTATATATATACGCTAAATAAGAATAAAATAACCTAAAAATAAATAAATAAAAACTAAAAAAACACATATATACCTATTTACATTCAGGAGAGGGAACTCCGAGCCAGACTTGTCCCTCCAACTGTGGAGGGAAAAGTATGACTCAAGGAGATCCCTGCACTACTTTCTCCACCGCGTCACTGGGGCTAAGCCCAGTGGAGATTGAGCAAGATCGCTTTAGTCACCTACACTCAAATCAAAACATTAAAGTTTTAAATGAAATTTTTGTCTAAGCTGGACTCTTCAAAATTCTGTCGCCAATCAAAAAAATTGAGATAGTTTGAGAACGATTCGATGGAATGACACGAATATTATTAAGGACTTAAGGCTCTGTATGCTACACCAAATGGTATAAACGCCACCTTAGTTGACAGCCGAAAAATGAGCCCCCTAGAAAATCAAGTACTAAAATTTGTAATTTTTGATATCTATAAAAAATTATATTAACGAGTTTTAAAAACCACTTAAAACAAATCATTTCATTTAACTTTCAATTTCATCGAAAAAACTTACATGGCCTACTTTACTGGAAGCTTTGAGTTTTTGTTATTTAAGATACTAAAAAGTCATATAATGCTACAGTCAATATTTTTTTCTTATTTTGCACAAAAAAAGTAATCGAATGGTATATAATATAGGTGGGGTTACTGCGGGAAACTGCGGCCTCAGAGACCGCATGTGGCTTAACGTAGTTTTACCGCGAAATGTATTAATCAAACTCTAAAATTAATAAATATTT